GATTATGTTAATCGTGTTGATTTCAATTGCAGAGAGAGTACACCAGTTGAAAGTAAACGTACCGGTGGTGACACACACGCTCCGACTCTTCAACATATTGGAACAAAACAATCGACAAGTTTGGATGCGAGCTCGTTTGAGGCCGATATCACTGTAGCTGGTGGAGCTGTGCCGACATTTGCTCACGGTATGACAAGCGATCTATTTGGTTGATCTATAATTGAATTGTAGTGATAAGGACAGAACTGAAATGATGTTGTGAGTGATCTCTTTACATTATGGCATCGGGATCACCTGGATCGGCTGAAATAACAAGCTTCAGTTCATGAATACAAAGCGTTCAAGTCAGAAATTCGGCTGACCGTTGACTGACAATGAGATTTTGTTATGGCAAACTGAGGCAGAGCACGTTCACTGCATCTATATTGAATAAGTGAATCGATGTTGACATTGACAGTCAGCATCTTGATATCGAAAAATTGGAGAATGCATTCAGTACTTAAAAATATACATAAATTGAAGAACGGAAGAAGCGTTTGAAGTTGTGTATGTTGACTTAACTCAAATTTGACTGTTTTTAAGACATGCCGATGTCGGGTCCTGGACGGCAGTCATTTCTGAAACGAAATTCGTTAAAGAGGAAGAAGAAGAATAAACAACCAGAGATACCCACACCAACTCTCTCTAAAGCAGCCACCTTCCTGGTCGAGAATCGTCGTCCATCTTTGATGGCGCTTGAGACGAACGCTACGAATGTTTCCAGTGGCATACCAGAAGACGATCTGCAAGCAATGACTGAACTCGGCGATCAGGTCTGACTTTCGCTTAAGAAATCAATTCAAAAAGCGATAAATATGTGGCGATAATATTCAAAGCGATATGTGAAATACCAATATAAATGGAAAATATGTGAACGAAATGAAAGTACTGAGACTACGTATTATTTTAATGAGGAATATTTCGGTGATCTGTTTACAGATTGATGAATACTACTATGGACTTCGAATATTTCCTGGTCAAGACCCGGCAAATGTTTGGGTGGGATGGGTGACACCAAAGTATCATTTTCATGCGAACAATTTCAACGCTAGTGAAGCGGTCCGGCGTTGTCGCTTTCAAGAAATCGATCAGTATGGAGGTTCAATGCAAAGGTTCGATCATATTCTTCAAACATAAATTCAAAATTCTCCAAAGTTGAGAATTCAACAGCATACTTCACTTTGACTTCATCATCATCATTCCAGTATAAAGTGAATTGAAAGTAAAATTAACCTTAATCATTGAACTATCCACAATGTATCATTCCATTCTCAGGTTCGGCTGAGTTTCCATATTTTCAGTTTGGAATACCGTAATTGCTACATGATGAACGCTGCCTCACTGTTGGAAGCTGTGCCTGATACTGGAAATGCGAAAGTTTCCGGTATTTTGATCGGTTGTATCATAGATACGTCGATTGGTGAACTGTCATTTCTGGCGGCTGGACAAGACACTGGAATCAGATTCAAAGTAGGTGCACAGGTGTTCAAGCACAATCGCTGAAGAGTTTTCCTCAGCTGATAAACTGTTCAAGTTGGACTTAAAATGTATTTATGTATCACCAGATAACTTTTGAAACAAAACGGGCATGTTTCATTCTTGTGTGTGCTGTACATTGCTGTACTGCGATAAGTTGTTGCTCAATAGCAGTTTTGAATACTTTATAAGATGTTGTGTGCGATTACAGTTGGAACCAGGTGCGATGCTTTATCCGGCCGCGTTCGTAGCACCGACAGCTTCGGAGATTCTACAGTTTGAACTTGGGCGCATTAGGGTAAGAACATCTGATACGGCAAATAGTCAATGATTTTTCTATTTCTGCTGGATTTTCATAAGTATAAGTTTCTTCTCTTATCACAAATGGTTGACTCTTCACAACGCAGTTCATCTGCAACCAAATTGTGAGCTCGAATGTTACTGTGAGCAAAACCGAGATGTTTACATCACTTGGATTCCGGCAAACACCAAATTCATTTCGTAATCTTGGTTTGTATTCTACTTACTGAAGCACTTTTTGATTCAGTACACGTTCCCGTTATCATCGGCAATGTTCAAGTCAACACGCAAGAGTTTAGTACCTTTCTGTCCGCCACGGCTCACCGTCGAGAAACTACAACCGTATAATTGGGCGAGAGTACCGAATGAATGCCTCCGAACCACAGCACTGAAACTTTCGGATGTTAGAGGTAAGCTTGCCTTCTCTTATTTGCCAACTCCTGCACATCTCATATGATTCGCCTGCAAAACGGCAACAAATATTTTGAAAGATATGTGTCATGAAATGGTGCACATCAGTTTGATTGCTTAACTTCTGCCTCATGATTTCGCTATGATGTTAACAATGACGAGTTTCATTTGCACCTCAAACAAGCATGAAATTGTTCAAAGAATATGAATTCAAATAGCAAAAGCTTACTATCGACAATATTCCATGATATGGTAGGCATATTGTTCGCGAATTACCAAAAGAACGATATCTTGTATCTGCAGGTTGGTCGGTGCTGTGCGATGATCCGGTGCGCATAATGTCCGTTTATGTACCAGAAAAAGATATGAGTTTCGATATTTTGGAGATGATCGAGAAACCGAATTATTTGCAATTTCATCGTCAAACGCTGAATTTGTACTGTAAACTCGCTGCACACGGCAACCAAAAAGTGGCGCATATTCTGTGTGGCCACGTTGACGAAGATCAAATCATGTACGCGATCAAGAATCATTGTGAGTCAATTGCTTCGCGGTTAAAAATTTGAATATTTCAAAATCTGTTTGAAAAGTAATTCTTTTTTGGGTTCCTTCAAAGCGTTCATAGTTAATCCAGAAGAATTTCTTGACGATGAGATGTTCAGAAAGTTGAATACAAAATCTCACAGTTGGTTTTCACAGTTCCGATTCCGAACTCGTTCGAACTTCCAGATGTAATGCAGGATATGATATTAGTATCTTTGTGTTCACCAATTTCATTGTACTCTTCATTTCGATCCATTTTGATTCGATTCACTGATTTGACAGATCTGTCTGGCCCAATGCGTCAAGGCTTTCATGACTTCTTGATAGCCGTCCATCTGAAAACGCACGTCGACGCTCGCATATCAGCTGCTCATGAGTACGTTGTTCCGTTGGTGCCCGAACTTACGACGAAGAATGTCTTCAATCCGAGTTCAGAAGATCGTTTCCCACAAATCTGCGGTAAATCGGTTTCAATTCGACCAATTATGGTCTGTAGTGAAGTGCAAACAAAGTACGTTCAATGTATTTAAGCATTCTTCTCAATCTTAAATTATCAATTTGTTTCCGTTGATCTAGTAGTGTACTGTGATTTAATGAACACAAATAGAACTGAACATATTTTTGATTCGATTTCTGATAAAACAGTTAGTCATGGAACTTAAATGAACCGTGACTACCTTCAAATGCAAACAGTTGACGTTTTTCGAACCTTAATTAAAAGAATGCAGTTTAACGTTCCTTAAATTCGACTTCAAATGAGATTTTTTCGTAATTGTTCAGCGTCGGACGTGATGATGTAATGAAACTGTTATCACCACAGTTCAATTTCCAAGCTCTGAAAACGCACGTGATGGATGCGCTGACAAGTGCTACCGAACATGCGGTCATCAGTTGCCGGGATTTAATCGGTGGAAATAATCTAAATCATTTCGAGTAAAATTTAGCATCGTCATTTTTCTTCATCTATGTTTTCGTGCTGAAACGCATGTTGAGTTGGTTTACATGAAGGAAAAGTTATCTTTGCCTAAGTTCCGTCCAAGAATGGTTAAAATCTTCTCGCAGAGAGTTAGTTACCATGAAGTACATGATTGATGTTACGAGATAGTGCGATTGGTCAGGTGATAGGGAGAGTGCTGGTGCATCATATGGGCAAACAGGTGAAAGTGTCGAGGTATCGAATTTCAGGCCGCTTTTCAAGCTGTTCAATTCACTTATGATAGTTGGCTTGATTGAAGACGATGATTTGCGATATGTTATGAAGCTAATACATCCGTCAGCATTCGATGAAAACTATGAACCAGGTCAGTTAGCTAGTCATGAAGCAATTGTTCATGAGTAATTTCAGTTTGTTGACTTCATCTGAACTG